CTTGGAAGAGAGACGAAACGTTTCATTAAAGAAGAATCCGTCCAGAGGACCTACACAATTTTTTTCCTTTTGACTCTTTAGTAATCATTATTGTTAAAAGCAGCAACTTTGTTCCACCGGGTCTGTTTGACCCGCTCCTCTCAGACGGCCAGGTTCTTTAAAGTCTTTTTGACCCACTTCGGCTGCCTTTGCTGGTCGACTCGGTGGCTCCTCGAGTCTTTTTGACTCACTGCTGGTTGACTCGGTGGCTACTCGGGTCTTTTTGACCCATGCTGGCTGGCTGGCTGGCTTTGCTTGATTTGCTACTAATCCTGTCAGCTAATTAGTGCTTAAACTGTGATCAGGCACAAGTGGTGATAGCAATAAACCAGCAGATACTGGTGATTTTTTTCTGTTTTTAAGTAAGAAAGACCAATTAGCATTTAATGAACTGTCTGTTGGCTTTACGAGTTTATTCAGTCTTGACAGGAAACTAATAAAATTWAAAAATGATTTAAAAAAGACCACTCTTCTGCTAATGAAAGTGATGCAAGAATGGTGCGGTGTGGACTTGTTGTTGTTTGGAGAAGCAGGCCTCCAACCAGGCCTTCTGAACAGGAACAGCCTTTGAGTTCTGATCCAGCAGTTCCTGAAGCTCCTGGTGTACGTACAGACAGAGACAGAGAGAGACAGAGAGACAGAGAGAGAGAGAGAGAGAGAGAGAGAGACCAGTTTACAGTCGAGTTCATGAGGCATTAGATAAAAGGAACTTATCCTGACACCAACCTGAGTGTGGATGTTGTTCTCCACCTCAGCCACGATGTGAGTGACCTCTGTGCCCATCACGTCCTCCTCGTCTCCATCATACGTTCAMACCAGATAAGGACAGGGTCAACTAGTTAACACTGTGTGATAGTTTTATCCTCCAGTCTCAAACTTTCACTAGGTGTGTATTTTACATTTCAACTTGCTCTTTAGGATTAGAAAAAAAATATAAAAAACATTGTTTCAGAGCATTTAGTAGTTAGAAATATAAATACATATTTAATTTAAAACTAGTAATAAAATCTAAAATCTAGTTCCCCTGAACAAGAACRACCAGTCTGAAACCAATGTCCCCAAGCACAATATTTTATATAAATATATTATATACAGTATATACAGTAT